CGCACTGGGGACTTCCACCACTCCTCAAAGCACGGGGCTGCCTTGGGCTGATGCTCACTGTGTTTCTCCAAGTCTGAAAGGTTTCCCCTCATGGTCAAGGGCTTTACTTCCCGTCTCCTGCGGCGTCTTGCCAAGCCTGTGCAGTTGGGGAGTGTTTGCTCTCACGAGCATTGTCTTGTCCGCATTTTACAAACCAGAAAACCAAGCCCCGAGAGGCTCAGTCCCAGAAATAGACGGTGGGGGAAGCAGGACTCAGGCAGGGTGCATGCTCTTTGTTGCGAGAAGAATTCGACCGGCGCGCACATTGACCCGACACGCCCGGGACACAGCGTGCTGTCAGGGGCCCTCTACACCTGAGCCTGGGTGGGGGTGGGGGACACACTATGAGGGACCCCCCCTGTCCTCCAGGTCCTTGCAGTCTGGCTGTGGACAGAGAAGTGGAGAGACGATTATGGGCACCGAAATGAGCAGTGGAGGCATGGAGGGGATGAGGAGGGGAGGAGGACCTCGGGGAGCACAGCCCAGAGCATGGAGGGGATTAAGGAAGAGGAGGATCTCAGAAAGCACAGCCCTGAGCATGGAGGGGATGAGGAGGGGAGGAGGACCTCGGGGAGCACAGCCCAGAGCATGGAGGGGATTAAGGGAGAGGAGAAGGACCTTGGGGAGTACGGGGAGAATGAGGAGCAGAGGAGGACCTTGGGGAGCACAACCTGTCCCTGCATGACGTCTGGTCCCCGGGGTGAGGTCAGGCTGCGGGGGATGCCTCAGGTGACAGGAGCTCTGCTGATGGGCTCATGGTGCTGTCTGCTTATCTGGGATGAGAGGACGGGGACGTGGAGACAGCACCCTGGTGGGAGCTGAGGGTGAGGGTGTGGGCAGGCTGGCCGGCATGGCCTGGAAACCAGAGTCCTGCCATCGAGGAGCGCGTGAACCCACCTCCCTCACTTACAGATGGCAAATTAAGGCCTAGAGGGGCAGTGACTTGTTCAAGGTCATCGGGCTCCCTCTCGAATTGACAGAGGTCCCCTGTGTGGAGTGCCTGGGTTCTTGGAACCTCAAGCCCTAACCCCTTATCCCTGCATCCCCTTAGCTTTTCCCTGGTCACTGTCTGGGTCCCAGCCGTCAGTGCTGGACGCACAGGAACCAGCATGAGCCGGGCAGGCACACAGCTGCTGGTGAACGGGTCCCGGGGCTCCCCAAATGCGGGTACCTTAGTGACTTATCCATGTTTACAGAAGAGTTTGGTGGTCTCCTGACGCTGAGGGTCCAAGCGTCAGGTGCAGAGGGAGCAGCAGTGGCCGTGGACACCACAGAGGCCACCATGAGGGCCTTGGGACAGTGTGACACTACTGGCTGCAACCCTGGGAACCCGTGAGAACTTGGGGAGTATATCCTGGAATGCCAAGTCCATCATGTCTGGTGACTCCCTGCCCCGGCTAACACACCATTGTCAAATGCAAGTACTGAGAAAGTACTGAGACAGAAGAAACTGAACCCACAGCTCATCACCCAGAGAGACCCTTTGTTAGCACCTTGTAAGACTATTCCATTATTTTAGTCATGCAGAAATAAACATGCATACAGGCGTCACCATGCTCCAAGACCAAAGCATAAAGATGTTTTGGTCAACGACAGGCCGCACATGCCACGGTGGTCCCATACGATGACAGCAGCTCCACCAGGAAGCCTGGGCGTGGCCTGGGCTCTACGTCTAGGTCATGTGAGCGCAGTCGCTGACGGCCGCACAGTGATGACACTGCCTAGTGATGCGTTTCTCAGAATGCGTCCCTGTGAGCAGCACGTACACCATCCATATTGTACTAAATGTGCCTCATACGTCTATTCTACAACTGTCTGTGTGACTTCACTGGGTCGTGTGAGGTCCTAGGGTGAAGTCACAGATTTTTCCATGGTGCCCTTTTACTTTTTTAATATTACTATTATTATTTTTTATTATTATTATTATTTTGAGATGCAGTCTCTCCTTGTCGCCCAGGCTGGAGTGCAGTGGTGCAATCTCAGCTCACTACAACCGCCGCCTCCTGGATTCAAGCAATTCTCCTGCCTCAGCCACCCAAGTAACTGGGATTACAGGCGCCCAACACCACCCCTGGCTAGTTTTTGTATTTTTAGTGGAGATGGGGTTTCACCTTGTTGCCAGGCTGGTCTCGAACTCCTGACCTCAAGTGATCCACCCGCCTTGGCCTCCCAAAGTGCTGGGATGACAGGCGGGAGCCACCGCGCCCAGCCCGTGGTGCCTTTTTAACACACGCTGCATGTGCCATAATCACTATCGCAAAAGTCTCCTGCTTGGAGACTTACATCCTTCCTTAGTTGTTATATCTATTTTTAAGATGGGGTCTCAGCTGGGTACGGTGGCTCACATCTGTAATCCCAGCAGCACTTTGGGAGGCCAAGGCAGGCAGATTGCTTGAGCCCAGGAGTTTGAGACCAGCCTGAGCAACATGGCAAAACCCTGTCTCTATTAAAAAATTAAAATAAATATTAAAAAATAAAACATAAAAATATGAGGTGAGGAGATCGAGACCATCCTGGTCAACATGGTGAAACCCTGTCTCTACTAAACATGCAAAAAATCAGCCGGGCATGGTGGCGGGTGCCTGTAGTCCCAGCTACTCAGAAGGCTGAGGCAGAAGAATCGCTTGAACCAGGGAGTCGGAGGTTGCAGTGAGCTGAGATCGCGCCACTGCACTCCAGCCTGGTGACAGAGCAAGACTCCATCCCCACAAAAAAAAAAAGAAAAAAGAAAAACACGCACACAAAAAATAAAGATAAAGATGGGGTCTTGCTCTGCCACCCAGGCTGGAGTGCAGTGGTGCAGTCACAGCTCACTGCAGCCTCAAACTCCTGGGCTCAAGCGATCCTCCCACATTGGCCTCCCAAGTAGCTGGGACCACAGGTGCACACCACGGTACCCAGCTTCAGTTGTTAAATTTTTTTATTGAAAGTTACATTGCAATGAATGTCACTACACCTCTAAACTTGCTTCTGTGCCTAAAGATAATTTCCCAATGAAACTTTTATAGAAGTGGGATTTCCAGGTAAAACGGGCATTATATTTTATTGTTTTTGTTTTTTGTTTTTTTGGGTTTTTTTTGAGATGGAGTCTCGCTCTGTCACCAGGCTGGTGTGTAGTGGCACCATCTCGGCTCACTGCAACCTCCACCTCCCTAGTTCAAGCAATTCTCCTGCCTCAGCTTCCCGAGTAGCTGGGACTACAGGTGCCCGCTGCCACACCTGGCTTTTTTTTTTTTTTTTTTTAATATTTTAGTAGAGACCAGGTTTCACCATGTTGCCCAGGCTGGTCTCCAACTCCTGAGCTCAGGCAATCCACCTACCTCGGCCTCCCAAAGTGCTAGGATTAGAGGCGTGAGTCACGCACCTGGCTGCATTATATTTTAATGACATTTACATCTTTGCAAACCCAGCTGGCGAAATGTTACCTCATTTCAACTGGTGTTGCATTGACGCCTAGCAATGGGAATGGTTGCCTGTATTTATTGCTCATTTTTGGTATTTGCATATTTTTAGTTGGTGTTTTCTTCCCATGGATTGATACGGCTCTGTATGAATTAAACATACTAACCTTTGATCTGTAATTTACTTGTCAAATATTTCACCCTGTTTTGTAGACGTTTGTTGTTTATTTTTGTTTGCAGTGTTTCTATAGAGGGTTTAATAGTTTCCCACCATGCAGCTGATTGTATTCGTTTTTTGTCTTTGTGACCGCGATGGATGGTTTGATGGTGACTGCAGTCAGAGGCTCAGGAGCGTCTGGGTCTGCAGCTGTCTTCTCAGCCAGGCACTCTCTCGTATTGATGGAGGTCCTCTGTGTGCAGGACCGAGGAGACCACCTCGGCCAAGGTGGACCACCAGTTGAGCGTGACTGGGATGCTAGCAGCCCCCAACCCTGCAGGCCTGGGATGAGGCAGCCTGGGGAGGGAGGGGACTCTGATTTCTCCTGATGGTGGGCCTGGATGGGCTGGAGAGGACTTGGGCCTCGGCCCAGAAGGTATTCTAGGTGTCACAGAGACCACATTCAAGGTTGGAGGCCGGCCTGGGCTGCCTATGTGAGGCTGGGGATGCTGACCAGAGGCCAGCTCCTGCACATGAGTCCTGGACACCAGGACAGTGCCGTACAGCCTGCACAGAGGCAGCTGGACAAGGCTGTGGGGGTGTCCTGCACAAGGAGGACCCCGGGTTAACGTGCCAGTGTGGCAGGAGGATGGGCTTGAGGTGTGGGTGTGGGGTGGGTGAGAGGCAGGTGTGAGGGGTGGGTGTGGAGTATGCACAAAGGCC